CTTTTCCATGGCTTCCTGTCTTGTCTGTTGCTTTTTGGGGAGTAGGGTAGGCAGTATAGCTGTATGTGTCTGTATGTGGCTATGGGCATCGGACTGTAGGTGTCCTCAGAGGCTGGAGGCACTGAACCCCCTGGAGCTCCAGTTGCAGGGGGTTGAGAGCCACCATATGGGTGGTGGGAATTAAACCCTGGTCTTCTAGAAGAAGACCTGCAGGTACTCTTAACCACTGAACCATCTTTCCTGCCCCCAAATCTCTTGGCTCTGAGGTAGATTTTGACAACACCTGAAGTGCTTATCCTTTATGGATGCCTTTGGAACTTGTGTTCCTGCCTAGGCTATGTCAATGTTCACTGTTCCTGGAATGGAAAGTTTTACTAACAAACTCTGTAATACTAGCTAAATTTATTGAGCGTTTCCCTCATAATAGGCACTTCACAGGAACTTATTTTTAATCCTCTAGAACTTCCCAGAGGTGGGTTCCATAAATGATAACTTTTTACAGAGGAGGAAAGTTATAAGGCAGGGGCCTGGACACAAGCATTGGGTGTCAGGAAGCCTAGATCCTTGACAACTATACTTCATGGCCTCTCATGAGGCCAATGCCAGAATCAACTGTTAAAAAGTGTGAGAATCCGAAAAGAAAAGTCTGAGTTGGTAATAGTATAAAGATAGCTCTCAAAGTCTGTTTATAAATTCAAAGATGTGCAGACATCGGGAACAGAATCCTCCATGAAGCTGTGCCCCAAAAGAGCCATCTGAGTACTCTCGTCACCAGAAATTTGACTAATATTTTGAAAATAATTTCTGTTGGCAATTGGGGAGATAAAAATTTTAAGTAAAGGCCCCTCAAGCAAAGCTTGGTGCCACACTCCTGTAATCCTAACACTCAGGGAAGCAGAGGCAGGCAGATCTCTGTGAGTTCGAGGCCAGCTTAGTACAAAGTGAGTCTAGAACAGCCAAGACAACACAAAAAAAACCTGTCAAAAAAAGGCAAAAAAAAAAAAAAAAAAAAAAAAAGGCCCACAAGAACTGAGACTACACAGCATCTCTAAAGTCAATCTTGACACACACATAAAAGACCTTAAATAATAGCAACTCAGTTTTAATAGATATATCCACAAAAAAAACTAAAGCCAAAAAAATCTGTGACTGCCTTCAGAGTAAGCACTGAAAGTATATGGGAACATGACAAAAGTGGGGAGGGACTAGAGTCCTAAAACGCTGAAAACAGTGATCTAAACAGCAGAAGATGATGCAGAGACCAAGAGAATAGAGAGAAGGGGCTGAGGGATGGGAGACATTCTAGTTCTGTCTTCAATTTCTAAGATACTACATCAACCCATTTTCCTCTTTTCCAAATTCTGCTATATCCTTGTGGGGCCAGGTAGCTTGATAAGGCTGTGTCGTCTTTCTCCCCTTTAAAGATCAATATACTCCTGTAAGTATTTCTCCTCCCGTGCCTCCAATTATTTCTTAGATGATTTATACTTCTTCCCAAATGGTGGTGCATACCAAGATTGTTCTATTCCCTCAGCACGTGGGAGGCAGAAGCAGGCAGATCTCCGTGAGTTTGAGGTCAGCCTGGTCTATGGAGTGAGTTCCAGGCCAGTGACGGCTACTTAGTGAGACCCTTGTCTCAAAAGAAAGAAACAAAATGCCTAGCAAATAATGCAAGAATATAAAAAAGTCTTGCCTGATTGCTACTCCTCCATCTTTGCACTGTTGCCATTTGTTTTAGTAAGCATCTAGCTGGGCTTACTAAAACAAATGGCAACAGTGATTTAAAGGATCTACTGATACTTCAACCTAGCTTAATTTTTAGCACCATCACAAAGTACCTATGAACGTCACACTCAGAATCATCCAATAACCAAATAGTTGCTTTGTTAATTTCCTCCCTTTTGTTTTCTTTTTAGTTCCTGGAGATTGAATCCAGAGCTTTGTGCATTCTAGGTGGGGTACCTGAGTTACATCACAAGCCCTTTTTGTTCTGTTCTGAAGTAAAATTTAAATACAATAAAACACCACTGTTGTGATTATTATTTTTTCAGAGACAGGGTTTCTCTCTGTAGCCTTAGCTATCCTGGAACTCCCTCTGTAGACCAGATTGGCCTCGAACTCACAGAGGTGTGCCTGACTCTGCCTCCAGTTGTGTGCCACCACCAACTGGCTTTGAAGCGAGGTTTTTGAATATACCTTCATTTAGGATTCAAAGGCAACAGTTTTTTTGTTTGTTTTATAAGACTATAATTTTTTATAAGTGGCCAAAAAGCTCATAATCTTCATGACTATATACTTCATACCCTTTAATTACTAAAGACAATATAAAAGATAAGCAACTAGACCTAAACCACAAATTAGGCTACTAATGCCTGTTGTTAAAGACATTAAACCTCCAACTGAACTTGTTACTTTCCACTTGAATATTAAATGACATGTAAATACTGACTCTGCACTGCCCACTCCGCTCAGGCTCTCAATGTCACCTGTAAGCCCACCTGGGATACTGTTGGGTTTCAGACTCAGGACAAGAGGCTGAGGTACCTATTTAACCTATCAAATTGCGTCAGGGCTCCAGGCTTTCCCCGGCATCCCTCAGGCCCTACCTGTTGCAAGGTGTGTCTGGCATACCCCTGAACTTCCCAGCCCTGGGGCTGGGCTTCCCTGCCCAGAGGCTCTTTCCTGTATAACCTAGACATTTTGCCCTCCTCCCTCATCCCCTTTTCTCTCTTCCCGAGTGCCCAGATGCTCCTTGTCTCGCGCTGCCAGTCAGTGTCTGCGTAGCGATTTCCCTGGCCCCATTCCTTGGGATGGATGTAACGGTCAAAGAGCTGCCTCCAAATAAACCTGCCCTTGTGTGTTTTAAGACAGGGTTTCTCTGTGTAGCGTTGGCTATCCTTGTTGGTCGCTTTGTAGACCAGACTGGCCTCGAACTCCCAGAGATTTGCCTACCTCTGGACCCCGAGTGCTGGGATTGCAGGTGTGTGCCACTGTGCCCAGCCTTTTTTTTTTTTTTTTTCCCAACCTAAATTGGCTTATTTCATTAGTCGAGAAAACCACTAGATACTTTTCTAGCAAATGGGAATCCACATCAAATGGGACCCCTCTCCTTTCCCTATCATAATATTTTTCAGGGTGGTGTACGGGTTTAGCAGAGGGGTGTTGGGAGATTCTTGATAGCCCTATTAGCCTCTTATTTGATGCCATTAAAAAACACTTCACCAGAAAAGGAAGGGGGGATTTTTTTTTTGGCTCAGTTTGAGGGTACAGTCCATTAAAGCAGCAAGAACATCAGGTGGCCTGACGTGTCTGCAGTCTGAAAGCAGAGCGATGGCTGGTGCTCTGCTGGCTCTCTCCTTTTATTTGGCCTGGGCTCCGCCAGCCCATGGACTAGTGCTGTCCATATTCAGGGTGACCAGCTTGTCTCCTAGGTGAATCAAGTTGACAGGTCAGCCCAGAAGCGTAAATGTTGGCATCATAAGGACATACGGCACTGCAGATCCTATCCCCTGTAACAGGATGTGCACGTGCATGTGCGCGTGATTCCAGGTGCTTAGCTCCCATTTGTCCTGACCCCGCTATAAACATGAGCTGCAGTAGGGGCATAACCATGGCCATGGAGAACCACTTTGTCTACAATCAGAGGAGGAGCTGGGTGGGAGGGGGCTTTAGTCAGGTTATTTCTGTAGTGTGTCCCACAAAAGGACAGGAGTTGGGTGACATGAAGCACAAGGTTAGTTCTCAACAGAAACCATTTCTCATTCTGCTTTTTTTCTGGATAGGAAATGCTCCATTTTATTTCCTCATTAACTACTCCCTATACCCTTGGCCAAAACCAAGAAAGCAGCAAAACTGAGAGACCACAGATTGCACAAGACCAAGAGATGGAAAAATAAGTGACTCTGCAGGGTCTTAACCAGTTAAGAATATAACAGAAATATCTAAAATAGAGGTCTGGGGAGGGGACTGAGGGAGAGAGGCTGGAGAGTAGCTAAGGACACTGCTCTTGCAGAAGACTTGGGTTTGGCAACCATCTGCAACCCGTTTCAGGGGATCCAATGCCCTCGTTTGATTTTTGCAGTAACAGGCACACATGTGGTACACACACATAACTCACATATAGGCAAACACTCATGCATATAATATAAATCAGTCATTCAAAGTAAGTCTGAGAGGAATGTGGCAACAAAACCCCAGGGGAGTAAAGGCTGGCTTTCTGGACACAGGAGAGGAAGCTGGCCAGACGGGGAAGGGTATTTCATGGTATGGACCAGCAAAAGCATGGGAAGAAGGTGGGACGAGTCAGAGACAGATAGTCTCAGAACTAAACAAGCTACATGATCCACATTAGTGAGTGTTAAAATCAATGACACAAAACTCTGTTCTCCTAGGTCATCTGCTCTGGACAAGCTCACCTTTCACATCGGGAAGGCAAACAAAGGCCATCTCTCAGCTTTAAATGAACTCAGACCCCTTCCAGCAAGAAATAAAATTAAAACATCATAGATCCCCACAGGGCAAAGACACAGCACTAGCTCATTCCAAGAATACAAAAAGGCCCTTCTTTCACTCACCCTGGAGGCTCCTAACCACTTTACTTTTTCTTCAGAGCACTAGATACTCCATTTATTTATTTTGTGTGGGGAGCACAGACAAGAGGGTATGTGTGGAAGTCAGAAGACAACTTGCAGGGTCAGTTCTTTCCTGGGGTCATGAGGCTGGGTGGCAAGCGCCTTTACCCACAGAGCCATCTCATCCCCCATCCTGACAGCATTTTATCACCATCCGGAATTTTCAGTATGTATTTGGAGCTGGCCCCCGTCAGCAGGCAGCCACAGGCGTGTTGACAGACACACATCCACACACACAGGAGATGGTCCAGAGAAGAGTCTTGAGCTCCCCAGGGCTCCATCTGCTCTAGGGTCTGCCAAAGCCCAGGGCGTTTACCACGTCCCGAATGAATGAGAAGGATAAGCCAGCAGTCAGACCACGCACATCCATCACAGTGCTGCTTGGAAGTTGTGCTTTAATCTCTGCACTCGGCTACAACGCAATGAGACATGAGTACAAACTTCCATTAACACCCAGAAAACAAACCGCACATTTATACTGCCTCAGCCGAATAGCTTATTCCCTTAAATTTTTTGACTTTAATTAAAGGTAGTTTTTCTTCAGTGTAAAAACTTAGAGGTATTAGATACAGTAAGTTATTAATATACACTTCCAAACTTGCACTTTAAACAGATGGTCTTATCTTAGTTTTTAATGTTATGCATAATCCACATCTCAATCTTGGATAAAAATTCACAATATATAAACCCACGGAAAGTTCTGTACACAAATACAAGTTATAGAAATCTGGTTTCAAATATAAATACATAAACTGTCATAAGCATACGGTTACAACAGCTTGCTTACTTTTTCTATTGTGATCTTAAAAAAAAACATAGAAAAATATTCCAATGCACATTCAACTGCTATAACAAGGGCCATGACCTTGTGCCTTTAAACCATACCTTGTGAAGTATAAAACATCATAAGGGGCATTTTTGGAAAGGAAATCACTAAGACATAGAGGCTACCATATAAATATTCACGTTATAATACGGTAACAAAAATAGTTATCTCTGCTGAGGACTTGGGAAGCAGAGGCAGAGAGGAAGTGGCGGTTAGTGTGGAGAGCTCAAAGAATGCAGTAAAGGGAGCTAAGGAACTGGCAAATTCTAAAAACTCTTATGGCAAGCCGAGCACGGACCTGCCCTGAAAGACTCTTAAGGCAACCAAGACTGAGTGCATTTGGCCCCAGAAACACAAATCCTGACCTCCACTCAACAGGCCGTCTCCGCACGCCAACCTGGCTTGTGCATTACTGTGGAGAAGAGGAAAAATGACCATATGTACAAAAGATGATTCAGTGCAAATCAGAAAGAATTCTTTGTGAAGCTTCAAAATGCCTTATTGCCCATGAGCAACAGGGAGATTTCTTCAACAGGATCTCTCCTGAACAGCAATGTAGATAAAAGGCAAACACTTGAGGCATTCTCGAATGAGGCCCTTGCCTCCCTCCCACTCCCCATGCTCTGTGCCCTTTGTGGGATTGGACAGGGTTCCATTGAGAATGACAGAATTGATCCTTACAAATTATAGTTTCAAATATTAAAAAAATAGATATATATCTTTAAAACAGCAGATCCAAGGTGACCAGGCAGAGCTGAGTTTCCTCTATGGCTTTTTAAGTTTACTGAGGCATCCCGTGATAACTGCTTCTGACACTTACACTTGCTTTCCTGTGAAAGCCACATTCAAAAGTGAACTGCCTACCCCAGCATCTGAGAAGGTAATGGGAAAGGCAAGGGGAGCAGCTGAGGAGCTGCAGAGAGGCACAGCCTGGGTGCCGTGGTATTCAAGGAGAGGGCCAAATATGTGTTCAAAACTGACAGGCTCCAAGGGAATGTAGGTTCCTCTTTGGGAAGACAGAGGAATAGCCCCAACTTTAATCAAAAGGTCAGCAGCAAGACACTGGGACAAGGTGCACCAAGGTGACATGCAGAATGGCATGGAGCAGGAATAGGTTAACATGGGAATGGCAGCGAAAGAAAAAGGGTAGGTGGCTGCCACCACTCCTGTGCCTTGTTACAGTCCAGGAAGGAGGGACTGAATGTTAGGATGAATGACACCAGCAGAATTTTCCAGCTTTTTTATGATGTGTGTGTGTGCGCACATGTTAGAATATGCCATGGTTGAAGACAAAGCACATCTCTTAATACCTCTGTCTCTCCACTACAGACCGCACATACAGCTGCATTTGCTCTTGCTCCCAGTGGCTATGCAATTATCTTGGCACAGAAAAAAATAGGAGGAGGAAGCTCTCACAGCAACCTGGCCATGAGCCATCTTGTGTACATATTATACAGGTGTCAAAAAACGACCCAATCCTATGACAGTCAAGAAGGAACTCCTTCCTAAGAATACCAGAGGCACGGCTTTAATTGCAGTCGTTCAGAACTGTGAAAGAAAAGGAGAACCAGCTCTCTTCCCAAAAGCCTCTGCTCTCTCCTGCACAGCATTGGCTTAACACTGGGACATCAGTGCAGGGAACAACTGCCCCACCCTACGCATGCCTCTTCCAGTGCCTGAGGAGACAGGTCACACGTCCCCTAGGTCCACAAACTCATCTTCTCGTTTGGCCAGATCATCTTCACCTCCCAAAGCTTTCCAGCCACTGGTAGGTAAGACAGGCTTGGCTGAATGTCGCTGGAACATCGCAAAAGGGAACAAGGAGGACAGGCGGGCAGAGTTCCTGAGCAAGCACGGCGCCTGTGCGTGGACAGCCTCCTGTCTGTGATGCCTCGCTTCAATTTTCTCCTGTAAGCTCTGCACTTCCTCCATCATTTCCAAGAGTTTGCTCATAGTGGCTACTCTGCCACCACCCAGGATTTGGGCTTCTGGAATCCAGCGTAAGTAGCGCTGGGCCCACACCTTGATTTCCGGCCCCTCAATGTGAGGCAACAACAAGCCATGGTAGTCTGTGGGCTTACTGTGCCAGTTGTCATAGAACTCTCGAGAGTTGTCCTGGAGCTCGTCTGAAGAGTTAATAAGTTTACTAATTCTCTTGCCTAGAAGGTTTTTGATTAAATGATCTGTTTCTTCCCTGAAAAATCCTTTCTTGGGAGATGACTTTGACTGGGTAAGTGGCAAAGAAAGTTGTCGTTGATGCTTTAAAAGAAAACAGAAAAGAGAATATTTGGTTAAGAGACAGAGTTACAGCTATTTTCATCATCATGGTCATCATCCTAGTGTGAGCAGTGTCAAGAGACATCAGAACTGCCATCTCATGTGCACTGGTTAATGCTGTAGCACAGATGGGACTTCCTGTTCATGTTAATAGTGAGTGATCTATGATGTACCACCAAGAAATAAAAGAAAGCAGACATATGTGAGGCTGCACAGAAAGGCATGCTGGGACAGACTGGGCCTTCTGAAAAGGGTACCAATGGACACAACGTACTTTGGAGGAACTAGTTTAATGATTTAGGCCAGTCTTGGGGGCTTTTTGAGACATAGTTCCACTACACAGTCCTGGCCAACCTGGAACCCACTGTGTAGACCAGGCTGGCCTGAAACATTGGGATCTTCCAGCTTCTGTGTTCTAATCACTGGCATTACAGGTGTGTGCCACCACTCCCAGCACATTTTTGTTGTTGTTGTTCTGTTTTTTGAGACAGGGTTTTTCTGTGTAGCCTTGGCTGTCCTGGACTTGCTTTGTAGACCAGGCTGTCCTTGAACTCATAGATACACCTGCCTCTGCCTCCCAGAGTGCTGAGATTACAGGCATGTGCCACCACACCTGGTGTTTAACCTGTAGGGGGTTCCAGCTGAAGTCATATGTCTCTCTCTCTCTCAAACAAACACAACAGGCAATGGGAGCAGAGGCACTGGCAAGGGGGAAAGAGCTCACTTGGCCAGATATTCTTGTTTGACAGGCTGCTCCGAACAGGAACAGGACAGCATTTAAGTTTCGTTCCTGCTTGTTAGCTTTCTCAGGAGCAAAGCAAGGTGTGATGCTTGGGGCACACTGTGAGGGTGTTATGCAGGCAACCCAGGGGTTGTGGAGATTCACTGATGCCCAAAGGAAGAGGTACAAATGCAAGAAGAAGCTGTTTTCTGCCAACTCTTCTGCTTTTAAGATGTTCACTCCCAGTAGGAACAGAGAGCTGTAGGCAGTGGCTGATGTCTGTAAATCCCATGTTTGGGGCTGAGCCAGGAGACTGCCAGGACTTTAGGGCTGGCTTGGATGACACAGTACACTTCATGTCAGCCTGAGCAATAGCCGCCTGCTCCCAACCTTGCCTCATTTACACAGCCTTCAGTCCTCTCGCCCTCTGCCAGCTCACATCTCTCCTCCCAGCCTCTCCTAGAGCCGACATCATCTGCCACTGCCTATAAGAAGAGATATTGAGGACATCACATAAGAAGTACTTAGCTGTCCCAGGAGCTCCTTGCCCCACAGCTGCCTCTAGTGCAGAGGATGTACAGGCTGCCACCAGGGGGCACAGCACACCACACAAAAGCTCACCTCTGGCTGACAGGCTGAGAGGTGAGGCAATCTTGCTACACCTGCAGAAAAGGGAAGCATCCTCCCTGGGTCTGAGAACAGCAAAGAGAGTGTCATGGCAGGTCTAGTGTTCAGCAGCTGACACTGTCTCCAAGTACTGGCTGTGGCTCACCTGCTCACCTTCCTTAGACTAGAACCCTATTCCATGACTGAAGTGGCAAGGCTCCCAGAGGCCCTAAGATTCAGGCAAGATAGGAACCACCACCGAGGCTATCAGAGAGAAATTCCAGGCCAGGTGATAGTGCTCAAGATTGCTGTTTAAACTGTGTGTCACTTAGTGAATTCTGAGGCATGACAATTAGTAGAATCAGGAACAAGTATCTAAAAGAAAAATGAGGACTTGTTTGTGGTTTAGGGGACAGGCTGGCAAACTCCAGTCCATGGGCCAAAGCTGCGGGGTGACACTGTGTAAAACACTGGAACACAGCTGTGCCCACTGCATATCATTCAGGATCACTTTTCCCCCCACAACAGTGGAGCAGGTAGAGCTGGGAGACAGTGCGGGCCTTGACACAAAGCTTGCCACTATCAGTTTATAGTTTTATTAAGTCTTGGGCCTGGAGATATGGCTCAGTGGTTAAGAGCACTGTGACTGTTCTTCCAGAGGATCGAGATTTGATTCCCAGCACCCATATGGAGGTTCAGAACTAAACCCAATTCCAGGGAATCTGATGCCTTTTTTTCTGGCCTCTGTGGGCACCAGGCACACATGTACACAGACATACATTAGATAAAACATACCTACATATAAAATAAGATAGTAAAGTTTTTATTTTAAACAAAGAAAAAGTCTTGCAATGAAATATATGAACTGGCAAATGCTTAGTAAAACCTTCAAGTTACCATTCCCTGTACTCTACCAGCCACACAATTCCACACAGCACAACTGTGGCAATAGCTGCCTCAGTGACAGGTCTCATCAAAGCACAGGTGGATTTGCTGAAGCACAGGGCACTAATAATGAGCCCCAATAACCCGAGTGCCACAAATCCCAACTGCACTCGGTATGAGGAGGCCACTCACCAACATTGAGATCAATAAAGTAGCCTTTGTCCTCAAACATGTGGGATGGAGGAGCTGGTGTATGTGTGGGTGGGGGCGAGGGTGGTTCTTAAGACATGCACATCTTACTTTGAAACGTGATCCTTTCCGCTGGCTTTTGTCCACTTTTGGCTTTTCCACATAGAGAGGGTTTCTGAGCAATGTCTGTGCTTTGGGTTCAAACTGTACTGACCAATCCCACACGGTGAGCAGAGTCAAAGGCTTGCTTTGTGTGTCCTGGCTTTTCCTACCCTGCCAAAACAAGCACAGGTTACCACAGGTTCCAGGGATGGCTGGAAAGCAAACACTTGAGTTCTCAGAAACAGGCTCCAGGAAGAGTGCTCTGCTGGGACTAAGAATGAATGTACACAGGCACTGTGTTTCCATGGCAGAGGCTCTTGGAAAGAAGGAGGGTGAGAAGGGCCTTTATTTTTAATGGTCTATGTCAGCTATAAGGCTGGGTGATTTCACAACAACCTGTGAGTTAACCCCTACGTTCTCAATTTGACACGTGAGGAAACTGAGGCTCAGAAAATAGAAGAGGACTCTTGAGGGTATGAAGCTCACAAACTGCAGGGCTGGTCACTGTCTAAGATGCCAGGTTCTATTGTTCCTGCTTCCTCCTGACACTTGGCAATCTACCAACTCAAAGTCAGTCCCAAAGCAGGAGAGGGCTAGGGAAAGGCCCAGGTATTAACCTGGAGGACAGGCTGAGCAGGGACTAAAGTACTTTCCGTTGTAAAACCAAAGCCCAGCTACCTTGCTTCCCAGGCATCCATTCTCATCCCAAAGTAACTCTTGGCATTAAGGTAATGAAGAGAGGACATCTGGTTACCTTCAGAAAGTATAATTTTTAATTTGGCTTAATCCCCAAACTCCAAAATTTACTTCCAGGTTAATATTTACAATATAATCTTGGGCTAAATACTATTTTGTTTCAAGGATAACAACATATAACTGGAGTGTGCTGCAAGAATTAAATACTTTCCCAGGTAGGAACAGCTGGGATCACTAGCACATAACCAGTATTAAATACACGTCATTTTTATGGCCAGTGTTATGCATGGAGTTTGTGAGTTGCAGCTTCTTTGGCACAGGGGTCTTTTAGAGGAACTCTTACCGTGTTAGTATCTTTTTGATGAGGCGAATTGAAGAAGAAGGTACTAAAAATAGGTATATACAGGCTATCTGACAATACAGTCAGGTAAGTCTCTGTGAACTCAAATGCTGGGGGATGCTGGTGCACCAGCTGCCAGACACAATCTAAGAAAAGCAGGAACACAGGGACCTATGTGGAAACAAGACATACATTACTTAGCAAGCCTAGACCCAGCATGAGCTGTTCTGAGCTCAGTGGACAGCCATCAGGAGTTTCTGAGCCCTGCCTCTCTGGCAAACAAATAGACAGTATGTTCCAAGTGATGATTATTCTCTGGGAGACCACTCCCCTGTGGGTTAGCATCAGCCTCTGAAGTATGTCAAAGATGAGCATCTAAAACTACATAACAGATTTGCGTAACACAGGAGCATCTGCAATCAGCTTTGGTGATGGGGAACGCTAATTCTGAACTTCAATTAAGTGAGTTCCATTATCTTTGTTTTGTTTTGTTTTTGTTTCTCAAGACAGGGTTTCTCTGTTGTCCTACAACTTGACCTGTGGATAAAGCTGGCCTTGAATTCAGAGATCAACCTACCTCTGTCTCCTGAGTGCTAGGATTAAAGGCATATGCCACCACTGCCTGGGTAGTGAACTCCATTCTTCTTCATAGTGTTCAACTATAAAAACAGGATGTTGTGCTGACTGCATTTTACATTTTGTCAATAAGAAGCAGTGTATGGGGACATTCCTGCCTGCCCCCATGATAATAGGTGGGGCTGGTTCGGGAGACTCAGCTGGAGAGGTTTCCTTCTTCATCACTCAGTGAGAGCCCTGAAGGCAAAGGCAAAAGCTGCAAAATCGGCTCTTACCCTACATTCAAATGTGTTTTGTTAACCTGGGTCCTCTTTTGGAAGCTACTCAGAGGCGAGCTTTGTTTGCAGTTTCTGGTGTGCTACCACTTCTGACGCTTTCATCTTGATCCCCCAGTGATCCTGCAACAGGGTAAGGCAAGCTAAGAGACAGTGTCCACCTTCCTCAGGAGTAGAGATGGGCCTCACATGGAACTGGTAAGAAGAAGGTGCTAAGAATTCTTGGATAAAAGGCCAGATCCACAGCAGTAATATCACAGATCACACCAGCCAGTTCTTTAGAACTCCAGCATGGTGGTTCTGAGAGGCTTCACACCACAGGTTATGGGCAACACCACTAAGTAAAAAGTAAAATGTACAAACCTCACTGTACGGTAAGGGCAAAGGCTCTTAAGTGTGAGTGACTCTCAAAGGACTGAACACAGGCCTTCTTTTAGTTTCTTTCCCAACTAGACACAGAGCCTGTCAGTCTCCCTTTTTCAAGACATGCAGAATCACATCTTTCTAAACAGTATCAACTCACTTTGCCTATCACAGTATGTGTAGCTCATTAGCCCTTCAATTTACTTCCTCCAAGTCCCTCAAGATTGAGAAATGGTGGTTTCTCTTAAGTTTGATAACATCCAGAAGAGCAGAGGTTTGGCCTGAAAGAAACCAGCTGGCATAGTGACAGCGGCTTGAGTCTCCCCAGAAACTTGTCAAGCCCTGAAGAGCAGATGCCATGGCTCTCCATTCACACAGCATGCTATGCCAAGCTGTTCTGCACCACAGACATGCTGATTAGTTCTCTAGAGGAAGAAAGCCACAATTCACACTGCTAGCATGTGTGCACTCTATGGATGGCTTAACTAGATAAAGTTGAGCCCACTTTTCCTTTCACTAGTTATCAAAGAAAACCAAGGAGTGTGTGTTGCTGTTACCTAAGAAAGAACGCTACATGTTAACTCAGGCTGGGGTGTGGTTTGCTCATAGAGCCCTGGGGTCCTTCTCTAGCAGGGTGTGAAAATGGTGGTACTGGTATATGCCTATAATCCCAGTGCTTGGGAGATGAAAGCGGAAGGATTAAACTTCAAGTTTATCCTTGAAGACCAGCCTGGGATATGTAAGAGCTTGTCTAAAATCAAATCAAAACAAAATATAAAACAACTCTCTGATCCAAGAGGTTGAGCCATTCATCTGAAGGGAAGTATGGTATGGATATGGAGGACACTCATGAAATCCCAGCTATTTGGGATGATGAGATGAAGACTCAAAGAAAAACTACGCAACATCACCAAAACCCCATATGCAAAACAAAATAACAATAATAGCCAATAGAAACAAGAGAGGCTATGACTCAGCCCATGTAAAGGCTCTAGCAATGGACAGCACTAACACAAGGAAAATTTACTCTGCTAAGTATACTTTCTGTAGTAAATTTATATACTAAATATCATTTACTGCAAAGTTAAATTTAGCAAGATTTGAAGAGGTCTCTCTTCCTTAGTTATTTTCTATTAGAGTATTTCTCCTAGAATGAAACATATGTACAGCCTTACTCTGCATGAGTTAGAAGACTTTGACCATGCATACTGATACTCTTTTGACCCTGGGGAGGATTTCCACATTGTTTAAAACATTCAAAGTCATCCTGAGATAAGCTGACTGGTTTCCTGGTGTCTGTGAGGTATGCACTTGCATTTGGGAAGCATACATCTGAGGACAGTGACCAGATGACAGGGAGTCTCCCTAGGACTGCAACAGTCTACAGAGAGGACACTCACCTCCTCTTTGTCGTTCTGGCGGAGATGGTTACAGCGGTCCAGGAAAGAGTGGCCACCCATGATCCACTCCTTTTGGATGAGGCTCTGGAACCCAGTCCTGGTTCGACAGTGGGGGTCCATCATCACTTGCACCAGAGAGGAGAGGAGGCAGCAGAGGTCAGAAGCGTTCTCTTCTAGAAGGGCCCAGCAGCAGCACCAAGAAGGAGAAGGACAGAGTGTTACAGAGAGGCAGTGCTCTCATCCACACAGCTATAAGAGTAGTTCCCAAGAGCAAGATCTCTTGTTAGACAAGGGCCAGCTCAGGAGAGACAGACTGCTTCTGGCCTGTTAGGACAGGTTCCAGCACAGTGCTGCTAAGAATGGACATGCTTACTGAACAAAGGCGACACTGAAAAATCCCCTTTCAGAACATGGCATCCATAGGTACCATAAAAGTGAGTAGCAACATTTGTGTATCGACAGCCTGCCTTACTGTGGATGAAGTCTACCTCCCTTCCTTCCTGGGGAGTCACCGCTCTCTGCTCCATCCTTCACAGACTGCTTTGTACCAAATGACCTTTTCAGCCATAAGGCTCTTTCCTGTTCTGTCTAGGAGCACAGAGACACCTGCTTCTCCTTGCCAAGCCTAGAGGCAGGATTCTCATTGACATTCTCCATGTGCCCACCTGAATGCACTTCATACGACCCACAAGGCCAGTCCATCCACAGACTTACCTAAGACTGCTGCAAAGGCAACACACATCTCCAGTCATGCATTCTTAGAATCTGAAGATACTAAAGCCAGGTCTACTTTCCCCATGGCCTCCTCTTTATTCCCCTTTCTAATTAGATCCAACTTAGATTACTTTTTGAGAATGTCCTCAAGGAAGATGGTGACAGTATCTTTAGGGTTAGAGAACTGGAGATACACTCATGCTGTTAGCACTCTTTCTTCCTGCCCTAGAATTATAATGCATTGAAGGTCAGGCTCACACTCATCTCCAGTGAGCAAGGAGGAACTAGATGGGGTTAGGAGAGACACATTTGCAAATGTAAGTATGCATGCATGTGAACACACGTGTGTGCAGGTATATGTGAAGGCCAGGTCAGAGGACAATCTTGTGTGTTGTTCCCTGAATACCATCTATCTTCTTCCTGATGTCCCCCTCCACCCTGACTGGCTTCGAACTCAGGATTAGGCTAGCCTTCCTGTACAATGAGTACCAGGGATCCTGTCTCTTCCCTGGTGCTGGCATTGAGAGCACATGCTACCATGCTGACTTTTTTTTTTTAATGAAGGTTCTAGAGATCTGACTCCAAAGCTACCAACTGACTCATCTTCTCTGTCCAAGGGACAGAATTTTTTTTTTTTTTTTTTTTTAGACAGGATTTCTTTGTGTAGCCATGCTGTCCTGAAACATGCTCTGTAGATCAGGCTGGTCTCAAACACACAGAGATCCACCTGCCTCTGTCTCCTAAATGTTGGGATTAAAGGCATGAGCCACTACCGCCCAGCTTTTAAACTTTATTATTTTTTCTTTTTGAGACAGATCTTTTATTTGTCCTCTAGGGCTGTCAGTCTCTGACAGTTCCATCTTGAAGGCAATCTTCCTTTGCTGATGATACACCTCTGGGGACAGTGGTAGAACATGAGGGACATTTTGGTTCCAAGAGAACCAGATTTCACACTGCACAGCTCTCCAGTTGGCACCTGGTTCTGGGCTCTCCCACCTCTCATATCTCATCTCCTTTTACTAGCTATTTGGAATTTGAATACTTGTGCCTTTATAAAAATACACTTAAGGTAATGCTCCCATTAGTTTTTAAGTGTCTAGAAGGAAAAGCATAGCATTCTGCACACAGAAGGTGCTCAACAAGAACGTTCAAAGTAAGACAGTGAGCTAGCACCAGGTGGTCCAAAAACCATAAGAAGGAACATTTTCCAACTTGCTCTTGGAGGCTACCATAAGAGAAGCACCACAGAAGCGATAAACACCAGGTGTAGAAGAAACAGGAGACAATCTACTTCACATGTAGTTTTGGGCTAGAAAACTTAAGACCCTCTAACAAAGCAAGCTAAGATGGTAGGACACATCTGTAGTTCCAGAGAATTGTGAGGCTGAGGCAGGAGAATCACTTAAGCCCAGGAATTTGAGGCCAGCATGGGTAATACCTCCTAAAAACAAACTGAAATAAAATCTAAACACAGGGAACACTTCACTTCCTATCTGAGGGCTCACAGCAGCAGTCTCTGCCACAGGTGGGTTCATGCTGCTTTTATCCACTGTGTGACTCAGTCCTGAAGCAGAGCAAATGCCCCTGAGGAGAGGAAAGCCACAGCCCACTACTTCACTTTCCATGGCAACTACATAAAGCAGCCTGCATACAAACAAGAGGAATCTAAGCAGCCACAGGTCTCCTAGGTAAAAGGGCATCCCAACACTGTTGGGGAAAGACACCAAACAATTCCTTCTTGGGCTGTGAGCGGCTATGCTAAGTTCCAAGCGAAAAGATGTTTATACTGTAACACTGAAATTTGAAGCAAAAGTTTACAAGGTAAGGACAAGCAGAGTAAGGGAAAGAAACAAATGTACTCCCTGAGTTATATATACAAAAGCTGACTCTCAGTGAATGAGAATGGAAACAATCCCCCGTGAGTTATTACCCAAGAGGAGGACGTTCATGTTCTGTGCTTCCAGGCATTCCACAATCTCTATTGCTTTCTTCAGGCAACGTCTACACATGGAAGACGAAAACAGGAGCATTAGTTACTGAGCTTGGTGCTAGAAACAAGAGAGGCTGTTTGAATTGTTTCAGTGTTCTTTGTGTTTCTTCATGCTAAAAAAGCTAGAAAAGGAAATAATCACCATTTATTCATACTCATCTGCCTAGTTACAGATATACACAAGTACACATACACAGACGACACACACGCAAATTAATTCAAAGAGATAAAAGCAGTGTCTTAGATATCCACACTCCTATATGCACTGCAGCAGTGTTCATGCTAGTCAAAACGTGCAAGCAACCTAAGAGCTCACTGACAATCGAGTATAACTTTGCGTGTGGGGTACACTTGCATGTTGAAATAGTATTCAGCAGTAAAAAGTACACTTTGTCATTGCAGCACTATGGAAAGAATTTGAAGGAAAGATGTTAGGTGAGATAATTCAGGTGCAGAAAGACAAGTGCTATGTAATTCCACAGAGAGACCCTATAAATGTCCAAGTCTGAAGGAACAGGCAGTGGTAGAAATGGAGAGCTAGGGTACAGCACAAATGGCAAGGGAGTGGTGGGTTGTGGCTGTGGTGATCAACACATTAGAGCCCACGTGTTCAGATTACCACATGGTGCTCCCCACTGGGATGTATCCCATGGTGCAGTGTTTCCTCCCTCCTTCTTTCCTTCCTTCCTTCCTTCCTTCCTTCCTTCCTTCCTTCCTTCCTTCCTTCCTTCCTTTTTTCTTTCTTTCTTCTTTCTTTCTCTCTCTCTCTCTCTCTCTCTCTCTCTCTCTCTTTTTCTTTATGGTTTTCAAGACAAGATTTTTCTGTATAGCCCTAGATGTCCAGGCTGGCCTTGAAATCATAAAGATCTTACTGCCTCTGTTTCCTGAGTGCTAGGATTAAAGGTATGCATTATCATGCCTGGCCTAATTTTTCTTCTGTATTGGAATTTTTAGTAGCATACCAAATTATGGATATGATTAGCATATACCCATTGTTTCTTGGTCATATTCATCCTCCAGGCTACCCTCCCCCATCTCTCCTCCTTATCTTTCCAGGTCTCCTTCATGCCCCAAATAGTCCCTCTTCCATTCTCCTGGGAGAGAGGTGGAGAGTGTAAGAAAAATGTTATCTAGATTCAGTTTGAGAAAATGTACCTTATTTTGTTGTCTCCAACCCTCTTGTCTTCCCTTATTTCAGAACTCTCTCCGTTCATGATCTCCCTTATAACCTTTTCTTCTATTTTTCAAAAAGATTTATTTATTTATTATGTATACAGGGTTTTATGTATACAATGTTGCTTGCATGTATACTTGCACCAGAAGAGGGAACCAGATCTCATTATACATGGTTATGAGCCACCATGTGGTTGCTAGGAATTGAACTCAGGACCTCTGGAAGAGCAGCCAGTGCTCTTAACCTCTGAGCCATCTCTTCAGCTTCTTTTCTTCTTTTTTTAAATGTGAGTAGCAAAGTCTCATGTAGCATGGCTGGCTTCAAACTTGCTATATAATAGTGGATGACCTTGAACTTCTGACCCCCATCCCCTCCCCAAAGTGCCAGGATTCTTTTTGTTGTTGTTTTGGTTTTGGTTTTGTTTGTTTTTTGTTTTTCCGAGACCAGGTTTCTCTGTGTAGTCCTGGCTGTCTTGGAACTTGATCTATACACCAGGTTGGCCTGAAACTCAGAGCCTCTCACATACTGAGATTAAAGCCATGCACCACCACAACTATTTTTTTAACATTGGGATTCTACTTGTCTGTCATATATGCATAGATCTAGATCAAGCATATGAGAGGAAGCATGTTGTAGAGGAATTTAACTCAGAACATGGCTGCTTGGCAAGAGATCACATCCAAAGACCTTCTAGGTCTGTGTGATCTGGCAGGAATACAGACTCACCTTTAATCCCTGCAGGGAGAGGCAGACAGATCTCTGAGTTCAGAGGACAGCCTGGCCTACACACTGAGTTCAAGGACAGCTAGGGCTACACAGAGAAGCCCTGTCTCAATAAACCAAAACAAAGAAAAGGCAATGTAATGCTTCTCTGAGACTTAATTCTAAAGCAAAAAGGACTCACTGACATTAATAGTGATTTTCTAAAATAATAATAATTTTAAACAGGTACAAACAAGAAACACACAAAGTTCAGACTGATATCTCGTGAGAAGCCAGCGTCCTTCCTGATGGGAGGCCAGCTAGGAGGTCAGCACTGTTACTGTTTTGGATGGTCATGGCTTTTCCTGTAGTCTCTAAATGTCTTACCTATTGAGTATACTTCTTTGTAAGCAGGGAGAATGTTGGTCAATTCTTATCAAATGTACAAAGAAATAATAAATGGCAAACATAAAATGCAGTCCAGCTCTATCATCCATCAGAATAATTAACCAGGACATACCAGGTATCTGTCAATTCCTCTACAATTCAGAATTAGACAACTATACAATTCATGTGCAAAACAAGGGGTTGAAATACCTGATTATATCAAGCCAGCTGCTGCTTTCTAAGAGAGAAAACCATTTTATATCTGTGTCCCAAAATTCCGTACTATTATCTGAAAAAGGAAAAAACATGGGAGACTTCAGGTTACTGTCCATGACTACACCTGCCATGCCACACCCAAGACGCCCCAGGCTGTGTAGCTCAGGGTCCCAAGTGAATGAAATCAAACACAACTGCAGAGTCCCAGTCCTGGGTCAAAGAGTAAAGTCATCTACTTCCTATCCACTTAACAATGTGGATCACATGTTTTGGTTAGAGCTCTACAATGCCATTTCCTTTAAGTGAAAACAGCTTTCTGTCTTGGTCAGACTAACTAGCCCAGTCAGTCTATGCAATGAAAACTCAAGGTCAGCTGACTAAACCCCAAAATAGTAAAGAATGTGCTAAGAAGTCAAAGTTAGAAAGATATCTCTAAGTATGACAAAACCCAGAGAAAAGAAGGGGAATGCCTGTGATTCCAGAACTCAGGGAGGTAGAGGTAGGTGGATCTCTGAGTTTGAGGCCAGCCTGGTCTACGTAGCGAGTCCAGGACAGCAAAGGCTACACTGAGAAACTCTATCTGGGAAAAAAAAAAAAAAAAAGAATATGAGAAATGAGCTAGGTAGTGTCACACACCTTTAATTCTAGCACTAGGAGGTAGAAGCAGGTAAATCTCTGAGTTCAAGATAAATGGGGGTGGTGGTGTGTTGGAGTGGTTGAAATGTTTTCACATTTCTTATTAACCAAATTGTTTTCCAGTGTAAGAAACTGTACATGTCTAATGAGGGCTAAAACAAATTGAACCATTCCCACTTTGGGGGAGAAAATCAACTAGGAAAAACCACAAATCATTCACATTATAAATGATTGTAATGTGAATCCAGGTACTTATGGTTCCAGGTACTTATGGTTCAAAACCTTAGAGAGGATCTTAGGGCTAAGATGTTTATGACTGGGGAATCTGGGATGCTGTGCAAGGTCAGAGGAGAAGACAGCAAGGTGACCATCGCAACAGGGACCACAGTGAAACTCAGGACAGGAACAGTATCACAATGGCAGCTGGCACTCCAGACCTCTGCCTACAGCCAGACACTGCTTGTCAGTGCCTCCGGAACCAAAGAGCAGGGGTTCACAGTAGATAATTTTACCAATGCATACCACCACTAGCTTTCGCCAAATGCTGGAAGCATGGCCTGTCCCCATCTGACAAAAAGCTTTCCCTCAGCGTTCTTCTCACCTATCAGAAACAGCTGCTTAAATTTACAGTATGCACTCTGGATTTCCTGCAGGGACAGGAAGCTGCTTGATAAGTCTTCAGTTTTAACAGTTTCGTAGGGTGGCCTGTGAATAGTCTTGTAAATTCTAGGTGTCAAAGAGGAACATGAGATTAGAAGCACAAACATGAATTTGCAGAGCTTGTTTGCCCTAAGCACTTGCCATGAGCCACAGTCTGTGTTAGAGCCCTGCAGTGAACCACTCATTTAATCCTCACTCACAGAGATCCAGGGGATGTGAAAATGTAGCTCATGTTTTGGGTCAAAACAATTTAATTACATAACCTACTCCCTTTGTTGTTTTAAGCTATCTACTTTGACTTTATCAAATTTGCATTTGAGGGGCTAGAGAGGCGGCTCAGAACAGAACTGGCTGTTCTTTTGGAGCAACTGTATTTGGCTCTCAGTAGCTCGCAATAATCTGTAATTCCAGTCTCAGGGAACAAGCATAAGTGGTGCACAAGCAAAATAATCATACGCATAAAAATAAATAAATAATTTAAAATTATTTTGAGAAACATCTCTATATAACAGTAGAACAGTACAGTGATGTACTCTGTGACCTCGATTTGACAGCTGGTAACACTGCAGCCATAATGCCATTTTCCCACCCCTTGCCAATCCTTCCATGAATCTCTGAACACTGTGTAGTTGACCTTCTTAATGATCTATACTGATTTCCTGCAAGATAACTGAGTGTTACATTTTATATTCCTCCAACACAAAGTCACCACAGCAAGTAAGTATGGTTCTTACTAGTGTAAGAACCATACTATCTGCTCCTTGTAGAACAGTTGCTACATGGAACTAGAACAAAATGTAGACGAAGTACTGACCCGTCCAAGAAGGTCTTCTGGACTTGCAAAGCACCATCATCCTGCTCTTTGAGCAGTGCTGACATTTTCAAAAGGGCACTTCCATTGTGGCAGGACCAACACCAGATCTACAGAAAGAAAAGGAAAACCTCTGCTAGACAGAATATTCAAAACCAAATAGGGGGCAGGTAAGTTTAGTATTTACAGTCAAACAGAGACATTTATAACTTCAAAACCAAATGGCTGGATACAGTCGATAAAGATTATAGTCTTAAAAATTAAAAAGAACAGGATTAGGCAGTCAGCGTGGGGCTTGTTCACAGCCTGGCATTCACCCTTCACTTGGCTTTAGGGCTAGTGACTTAAATGGTGGCAGTAGCACCATTACTGTTGCTCCTAGCAGGATGGTAGCTACCGTGGCAATGTAGCTAATATGCCCCACATTTGCATGAATTAACTCACTGAAGTCTCAGGATCAGTTCATGTGGTAAGTGTGATTATTAGCCCCATTCACAGCAAGGAACTGAAGTTCAGAGACAACGACGGACTTTCTACCTGACGGCAATAAACAGCTCAGTTCTTGCCAGCAGAGAGCACCGCTGAGAAGATGGCCAGCTAACTATTTGACAGTGAATCTGAAACTCACAGAGGGAAGCTGACCATGACCCATTCTATCTCACAGCTCTTATGCAGCAAGAAAGAATGTGGGAGACCTTGGAAAGAACGGACTTGGAGGAACAATAAAGAAAGGGGGAAAGATGAGTGACTGTGAAAGACAGTCTAAGGTGCCTAGATGTTTTTTTCCTGGATACTGCTTCTGCAAATTGGAAATGATCTCAGAGTGAAGCAATGTGCCCTGGGTGCCTTGGCTAGATGTGTAAGCACAGCTTCCGTGCGCTGCAGCAGGTTCCGTAGTGGCTCTCTAGCCTTCCCCTGCTGACCACACTATCAACCTTGGCTTAAGTAATGCTGCTGGAAAGAAAAAAGTCGGGAGTGTGGTCAGCAAGCCGGCTCAGCAAGTAAAGATACTTGGAGCCAAGCCTGACAACCTGAGTTCAATTCCTGGACCCACATGATGAAAGGAGAGAACTGACTTGTATAAAGTCATCTTCTGACTTGTGCACACACTGCTGAATGAACGGATGGATAAATAAGAGATGAATGAGGGAAGAATGCATTCCTGAATGCATGAAGAATGAATGAATGGATGGAATACCATTTTTTTCCCTCTTACTAGACACCATTCATATCACCTGCAATGAATAAACCATGCCTTGGATAAGAGAACAGCTGCCTGGGCAAGAGCTAGAGTCCTGCACAGCAATTCAGGATCTGTTCTGCACTCAAGAAAATCAGAAAGAACTGTCTTGGGGTTCAGGGGAAGGTGACTGAACTTAGAGTGGGTACACTGGGCACTTAATGCCACTAATATACCACCAGATAGCATCCAGGAGACCTCAGAATGAGGGATTATGAGTTCATCAGAGAGGACTGCTACCCTGGACATGGGAAGTAATGTCACCTAGAAAGTGGGGGCTGACAACTGCTTTAGCACCTGATCCCCCAAGGGACCTTCTCATATGAGGCTTCAGTATTCAGATACTGAAAACTGGGGAGGGGGGTCCTTTGCTTCTTACTTCCTCCTCCAGTGTGACAAGAAGCAGCACGCAGAAACTACTACAGGCTTCTATGCTTGCTGCCAACTGTATGGAGTAATATTCTGAATACTGAAGAAGTCATGCCCACTAGCTGGTACAGCTTATTTGGATGCAGATGGAGGATACTTATAGTTGTGACTGGATGACAGTATCCAAAAAATTAAATGTCCCTAACATTTTTAACTACTTATTTGAGAAAAAAAAAAAAAGATAGTCCTTTAGGGAAATACAACTGTATATCTGTTGTTTTAAAAGATGAAAATTCCAAATGTTCTATTTTACCAATAAAGACTCAGGAGCCAGATGCTGGAGTGAAAACCTGCTAGCTCACAGGGGCAGAGAAAGCACCAACTAACTTCCCTTTTCAGCTCAAGTCCAGATGGGAAAAAACCCCAAAGGCTCACTAGCTCAGCTCACAGTCTAGGAGGAAAAGGACAAAAAACCCAAAGCCAAATGTTTGGTAGCTCAAAGCCTAAAAAAAAAAAACAAACAAAACCAAAAGCCAGAGAGCTAGAGAGCTAAAGCCAAAGAGCTAAAGCCCAAAAAGCTCCTTCTTCTTCTGCACACTCAGCTCCAAGTCCCTTCTACTCTTTAATCCCAGTCAGCTGGTTTCTTACTCTGCGCTTGACCTAGAGTTAACTTTTTAAAATCCTATATACAGAAAGCTCTTAGACTAAAGGTGTGTGATAGGGCTCAACCACACCAAATGAGAAGCAGGGTTTTACAGTTCACAATCTCAGGTTCACAACAGGATCAAATATCCTGCAACATATCTCATTTTTCAATTGGGACCTATTAATCAGAATTGTCTCACCTCATCTGAGGCACAAGGCACAACTCATTACTATTCTTTATTTCAAAGAGCAAAACCACACAGTCAACTTAGCAAAAACGGCAAGGACCAGAGTGACTTGACAAAGCATACAGGCGATCAATGCAGAAGAGTTAGTGAAGGAATAAACAGAAGAGGGGCCAATAGTGATAGCTGCAACCTGCTGAGCATGGCAAGGCCCTGGACTGGAGCCCAGCACCAAGCAAAGGAAGAGAGAGGTAGGCAGAGCGCAGACGGGAGGACACTGACTGCTGTGTCAGTTCCGTCTTGGGTGCTACCTCACTGCTGTCCACGCACACTGCCACACTAAGGATGTTAGAACACAGAACTGTGGCAGACGAGGGAAGAACACCTTCCTAAAGCACCTAACAAAGGTGGCTGGCTCTCCACCCATTTAGAGAAAGTTTTCTATGCCTCAGCCCCAAAGCCTGGGAGAACATGCTGTATCTAAACTTCCTGTGCGGCAGGGATAAAGGAGCTTACTCCCACAAGTGCTGCTAATTCTTTTTTTGTTTCTTCCCACAGACCCCACCCCACCCCATTTTCTGTATTTCTCCATGAAAGGCTGGAGGTAGAACCCTCAACTTCATTCCTCTCAAGCAAGTATACTTTTCCAAGTATATTACACACTGTTCTGAGACCCAGGACCCTTGTGAGTGGCCACAATACCACAACCATTTTCCACTGTGGTGACATATGCACTGGTGGCACAGGAGCAATGGCTAATGAACCGCCAGTCAGGGCATCACTACTCAACTACACAACTTGTTAATAAGTTGCCACCAGAAAAAAACATAGTCTGAGTCACCTGAGAATGTCCTTGTTGCACAAGCCTGATGACCAGAGCTCAATCCCCAGATCATGAGCAAAGGTGCAAGGAGAAACTCAACTCCCCTCTGACCTCCACACATGTACCATGGCATCCATGTCCTCAATCCCCACTAATAATAACATTTTTAAATGATCGATTTGATAATCTTGATCACTATATCATAAAGTGTCTATCCCACTGAGCTGAGAGTGCCTTTGACATGAACTGTGAAAATTTAAACTTTAGAGAACTAATTCTTATACTATTAACAGGAGCTAGGCATGCTGCCATGGGAGAAAGGCAGCCATCAGTCCTTCTAGCTGTGATGGCTACAGACCACAATAATGTCTGGCCCAGAAGACAGTGCCAATGAAGCAACTGTGGCCCTTTTAACTTGGGGGTAATCAACTGCTATCTAATAGAACCTGTATTCTAAATAGTTATCCATATGCCCATAGTAAGTATAGGTCTCATGCCTCATCAAAGAAGCCTTGTTTTCACAGCAGATAGTGACTGGATCGCTGGACCCAAGCTGGTCAAATGCAGAAAACAAATGACTGGGGTGTTCAACCCTAACTAGTAAATTTACAACAGTAGAAAGTTTTAAGAACTAGAGGATCAGGACACCTGCTGGGAAACAGTGTCTTCAATATATGACCAGGAAGCTGCACCCATGAAACCTCAATAATATGGTTAGTTGCCTAAAAAAGAGCTGCAGAATGGGGATGCCAGTTGATATGCCAATGAGGATGGAGTAAATTTCACAAGGCCCAAGCCTAGATGAAGAGCTATGTACAAGCAATGGCTGCTGAGAGAGGGATAATCAGTCTTCTTCCCTGAAGGCTTATCTAGTCCTAAGCCATCAAGACATGAATACACAAGCAACACTAAATGGACTCAGAAGGTTGTGTGTGTGCATGCACACACACATACATATATATGTGTATTTGTGTATACACATAAGCATACGCATATATAACAATTACATGTTATATAGCTGTTATAATACATAATAATTAGAGATCATGAATTTGTGAAGGTATAAGGAGAGACATGGGAAAAGTTGAGAGAAGAGAGGGAAGAGTGAAATGACAGATGCTCCTGTACAAAATCTCAGTTAAGATTGAATTTCCAAAAAAATTTAAAGTGAATAAAGTGAGTTTATCATTTTACAGAAAGCAATTTTAAAAATGTTGTCAACTGAGAAAAAAATTAAGCTTTAAAGCAAGCAAACAAACAAACAAATAAATAAATAAGAAATGTGAAAAACTAGTACCTGACATTACTTGAACTGTTTTCCTACATTTACTCTTCTGGTAAGAGACTGGTATTAATTGTAAATATTTACATATATAACCCATGAACCAATATGTTCAAATGTGTAATAGGACAGAATGTATACCCTTCTAACCATAACACAGAATGATGGATTTAAATATGAAAAAGAGGAACAGTTCCTTGTGTTTTCAAATTCCTTTCCGTGGTTAACCTTTGTGAACGTGTCATGGAGCATATTCTGGTGCACTGTCAAGTAGCGATACTCTCAGTCCAGCTACTAACTAAACCCCCTTTCGAAACACACACACCTGAAACTGGAGTTTCTCTGTTTTTTTTTTTTTGTTGTTTTGTTTTGTTTTTTTAAGATTTATTTATTATGTATACAATGTTCTGCCTGCATATACACCTACACATCATAAGAGGGCACCAGATCTCATAATAAATGGTTATGAGTCACCATGTGGTTGCTGGGAATTGAACTCAGGATCTCTGGAAGAGCAGCCAGTGCTCTTATATTCTGAGCCATCTCTCATCTCTGTTTTTAACCCA